AATATATAAGATTATACTATTATATATATATATATATATATATATATATATATATATATATAACAGATTATAATATTGTATATATATATATATATATATATATATATATATATATATAAAATATTATAATATTGTATATATATATATATATATATATATATATATATATATATACAATATTATAATTTATATGAAATAGATACGCGGATATTCCAAAAGAAAACCACTCGGATCACCTTACCTGATACGGTGGCCAGATGCTGTAGGCCTGAACATCCCTCCAACTGGGCATTTCCAAGCCAGAAGCGTTTTTACTATCGTCCTCGGCCACGATGATCGTGTAAGACGTGACCGCGCCGTTCTGCTCGCTGAAATAATTCTTCCTGAATCGTATTTGTATCGTGGTGCTGCTTCTGCACACCTCGGTTGGCACCACTTGAGTCGACGGTTTCGGCGGCGCCAGAATCGGCATTTTCTGCTTCCACACCGCCTCGGGGCCGAAGCCGATTTTCGTCTGCGCTTGAATCCGAAAGATGTACGTCTTCCCGGGTATGAGCGATTTAATAACGCCGTGGTATTCGTTTGGCCTGAAGTCCTGCATCTGAGTGTGGGTCGAACCCTAATGACAACGACAGAAGCAACATCGTGTCGATTTAATCCGATCACGCTCGTTCGCGCGGAGATACTCGAAACGCTCCTTCAAAATGTGATGTCAAACGAGATAAACTTTGCTTTTAAACTGCGCGTTAATTGTTCGACAATTTCAGGCACACGCGCGTGTGTCGTTTGTATTTTCCTTTCATTCCATTTTTTTTTCTTTTTTCTTTTTTTTTTTTTTTGCAATTTTGAGCGAGATGCCTAGAAGCGTTTACGCGTTTACGCGCGACGTACATACATACGTGTGGAGCATGGTGGGGCAAACGTGTGACTCACGATTAGTTCAATGCTAATACTGATTTTCCAAATGAAAAATCCTCGTTTGTTGGGAGTGAATCCTACTTGGGTATTCTATCTTCTTACAGGTACAGCGTCTTGTGACTCAATTCGTTAGTGCGAAAACTGATTTCAGCCAAGTGGTATGCTGAATCGGGAAATGATTCAGTTTATGATGATTGTAACACAATTTTAAGTAGATTTGAAACTCTACTTGACTTGAATTAAATGATCTGTACACACTTCTGATCATTTTCGTGCCGCTGAACACTTGCAATTAATACTCGGCAGTTAGTAAATTAGTTATACATGTATAGAACAGGAATAAATGTTTTAATTATGACACTTGACACTTATTAATCGTCATACGAAACGTATCTTAAATACTTATTATAAATTGATATTAAAGACCCACGGAGACCATGTTTTAAAGACTTTACAAATCGTAAAATATTTCTTAAAAATAAAAAAAGAAATTACAAAAAATTAATGAAATATACCGATCTCCTTAAAAACACACCAGAGATATTTCACGAAATGAAAATATTCACTCGAAATGTAACAAATGGTTGAATAATACTCCGTGTATACTGACGAAGTTAGACCGTTCAAATCTCGTAATGCTGCTTACGTCGACGCAGACTTACCTCCAATCCATAGGTGATGGTATATTTTCTGATGATGCCATTCTGTTCCTGACTCGGTAAAGACCACTCGAAACTAATGTCACTAGGCTGAATATCCGTAGGGTGGAACTTCTCCACCTTGCCAGGATAAGATTCGCTGGTGGTGAAGCTTGCGCTCACGGGATTCGATATTCTGAGGTAAGAGGACGCCGTGCCCGAACGCACAACCAACGTGAACGTGTAATTTCGGTGCGGCTTCAAATCGGAGATGGTTATCAAATTAGCGCTCGTGATGTTCTGAATGTAATTTTCCTCTGTGTTTATGTATTGGACCTCGAAAGCGTCGTACTGTCCACGTGGAATGTCCCATGTTAACGTGATCCTCGTGTCGTTGATCTCTATTGCTTGAATGGACGTGACTGGTTCAGGATCTGAAAGTAGATTTCACGATTATTCTTGAACAGTCCGCGTGCTCTTTCATTTCTTTATGCATTTCATATTTTTTTATTACGTAATTTTCATTTCTATTAAAATGGAATTTAATGTGGAATTTCACGGACTACAAACGTGTGTAGGATCGATGGTCTTTGAAAATCATTGTGCTGTTTGAAGCAATTAATAGATTATATAATTTGTTATTTTTATTTCGCTTATTCTTTTTATTTTGAAAAGAGATCCTTCTTAACCGTGCTGCCCGATTCTTGAATTTTCATATTTCGATCATCAGTTTAGCAAACAAAGAGCAATTATAATATATTAAAAAGATACTTAACAGAAAATTTAATTCAATAATCGTGTATACTAACAAAAGAATTTTCCTTCGTGTTTCTCTTTAAGCTTGAGGTATTGGTTTAATTTTTGAGAACACAGCAAGATTAAACAATTGCCATTAATTTTTTTTTTTCTGTGTCTCTCGTAAAGGAATACAACTCTGAGATAATAATATCAAGAAACTTTTAGACTAGAACGCGTTTGAAACAGCTTCCGAAGAAAGATATAACACAGTTACTTCGGAGAAAAGTTCACTTGAATCGTTATTTCTCTACTCTGATTGGTTAATTACAGTTACACATGATATCGAGCGTCACGAGGAAGCTGAACTTCAAACAGAAAAAAATAAAAAAAAGAAAGAAGTACCACGTTCTCAAGTGGAATTTCATATGAACTCGTACAGTTCCGTTGTACGTTTTCATTAAGCATTAACGAGCAAGCTGCACAATGAAAATTTAAAACGAATACGTATTTTAATATTAATTTCTAATTAATTATGAAACGATCAGTAGAGGTTTCAAGCAATCAAACTGTGTTAACCGGGTAAGTTGAAACACCTTAGCGTTTGATCGTAAAACATACCTATCAGGAAATTAATATTAAACCTCTTCTTCCCCTACAATACAAAATTACAATCACAACTGTGAATTTCAGTTAACTTTTCGAATTGAAATTCGAACTTAAAAACTAAAATGAAGACTTCTCTACTTTTTTAAACGAAGCTCAATGAATTGTTTGTTGATTTCATGATCATTTTGAATGACTTTTATTCGCTTAAATATTTTTAATTAGAATTTCGTTTAAAAAATAATATGAAAATTGGTTTGTTTTATTTTAAACTAGGGGATCGATGAATCGTTTTTTTATTTACTTTATAATCGTTCACAATTATTTAGAAATCTCGTTTGAACTAAAAGTTGTTTCTTTTCAAAACGAGAAATCAATTAATTTTATAATTTTATAATCATTTGTGTTCGCCTAAACTTCTTCAATCAAAATTTCATTCGAGATAATATAAAACTTGTATTATTTTCAACGAACAGTTAATTAACTTCTCTAAATTCCTTTAAATTTTAAATCTTCAATTCGAACTGAAACGAAATGGAAGTTATTTCATTCCGAAGCAAAAAGTCAATAAACTGTTTCTCTATTTCGTAATTATTTCCAACTTTAACCCCGTTGCATCTCAAACCGTAAGTGACTTCGTTCAACTTTTCAATTTCGTGTTCCCGCCGCTGTCTGAATTTACTTTCGCGCATCGAGAGATCGCCTAACTGCGGTAAAATAGATGTCACCTCCAGGCAAAAATACTCACAAAGTCGGTCCTGCCTGATCAGAGGTCTGCTCTCCACGTTATCGCTGACGGTCCAAACAGTGACGTTGTACAGTTTGCCAGGTGTTAGGCCGGTGAACGTCACTTTGGTGTCGATGTCGTCGACCATCCGTTCTTTCGTCGTGTTGCTCTCATCGCTAATCCGGAATCGATACAGATCGAACTTGGATGATTGAACGGGGGTCCGTGTGTATCTCAACGTTAACGAATCGGGCTGATCTTGATCGACCACGACGACCACTTCCGACTGAATCAGCGGCACTGAATTCGATACACTCGTGTTTTTTTATTTTTTATTTTTTTTTTTTTTTTAATTTCTTGGAGGTCGGAATTTTCATACTTTCTTTTATTTTTATTCTTTTTTTTTTTTACATAGCTTTAATCACGTTTCTCTTTATTTAGATCGACTTTCTGCATTTAACACGATCTCCTAACACTTTATCTTTTCTGTTTCTACTTCAAAAAGAAAATTGTTTGGACTTCTCAGTGAAAGAAAAGACCAGAACGAAGTTAACTAGGTATTAAATTTTGTTACTTTGCCTTGTAATCGTATGTATGTTCAACTGTATGTGAAATTAGGTTATTGCACAGTGTGATGTGATCGCCTAAGACTGGAAGTTCAAATATTGTCGAAACTATTAATGAAAAGTTTTACAAAATTAAATAATTGAATAATAATTATACATTGATTCTGCAATAACATATTTTTACTGAGATGAAGAACGAATTACCACAAAATGTACTAAAAAAATATGTGATTTTATCTAAAGAAAAAAAAAATAAAATTGGGCTTCATAGACTTGAAAAATAACTAATTACTAGAGGTGTACGAGAACCCGAAAATATCGAGAATCTAATTTCTCGAACTACTCTGCAATGCTGTATAGCAGCCTACAAAATATGTAAATACACAGTTCAATTTCTTCTGCCGGTGAAATTATTGGAAACACGGATTCTAAGAATGTGACCTGATGTATACAAACGTGTGACTGCGTGCTTAATACTTGAACATTATGTACGCTGTTGAGCAGTATCGCTGAGAAATTCGGTAGGTTCAGACGTATATTTCAAAATCTGTGTGAATTTAATAAAGATTGAAAATCTTTAAAAAGAAATGTCGAGTGATAGTGAGAGCAAAGTTGTGGTAGCAGGAAGTAGTGCAGAAGATATCGTGCAAAGGAAGAAGGTACCGAGAAGCTCTGTTTGGGAACATTTTCAGGAAAAAGATGATACAAAGGCGGAATGCACACATTGTTACCATGAATTTAAAACTAAATATGCAAACACTACTGGTTTATTACGCCATTTGAAGCCATATGCATCCAAACGTAAGTACATGTACTAGAAGAGAAACTGAATCGATATAAAATTTGTCGCATGTACAAAATGATACGCGAAAGATTGTTGAACCAAAAGATATAACAGAGGGAATTGCTCGAATGATGGTTCTAGATCTACGACCTTTCGATACAGTTGAAAGCGTGGGCTTTGACGAATTATTTAAGCTTGTTCCCAATCCTTTTCCAAATTCCAACTCTTTCGGGAATCCCGATAAATTCGAGAATCTCGAAATTTTCGGGTACCCGTTCCTGATCGATATTTCGGGTTCTCGCGCACCTCTGCTAATTGCATTAGTATTACAAATTATTTCCTTCTCGAAATAACTCCTCTGTGAAACAATTTTTATGTAATTAATAGTTTCGAAAATATCTTAATTTCCAGCTCTCTGGGTGATTCACCTGACATATCGTAGTTTTCGATTAAATCGAGATAGACCAATGCTCTCTAAGATTACGTGAAATTATACGTACATTGTAAATTATTTTACAAAATATGATTGTTCACTGTTTGAGGGAATAAGACTGTTTGTAATGTTACAAATGTGTCACAGGTGCGTATGAAGATATCATCGTGTCAATATAACGTAAGCACACACGCGATTAGTAATGAAATAACCATGAATGGTATTGATTCAAGTATTGGAGTGTTAGTGCTCGTGGTCAAGCAAATTTCTTTCACTATTTCAATGAAATAGTTGGACAAACGTCATCCAAAAAGAGAAACGTAGCCTCGTTTGTTAAATCGAGTAAGAAGTGCGAATACTTTGTGACGAGGGACGAGTGAGCGGCGAAACTTACTTGTCCTGGTTGTCAAATTGGTGATATCACTGAACAAATTGTAAGAGACAGTGTAGAGCACAAAGGAATATTGAACGCCTGGCATCAGGTCGCTGATAAGCACCCTTTGCACTGTATTTTCTTCGAAAAGTACACTGGTCACGTCGTTGCTCTCCGTGACATTTTTAGCGTGTATGTCTTCGGGATTCTCGACTGGCCACCATCTTATCACGTAAGTTTCGATTCTACCCTCTGGTCTTGGCCATTCCAGGGTCACGTTCGTCGAATCGATGACTGGAGTGATATTAAGTACTGGATTGGGTCCTGAAATATGACACGAATCATTTGAATTGGAAATTCTTACATTCAATATGTTGCTTACGAATCAAAGAATCACTTAGAAATATCATCTCACAGGTTATTATATGATTTTTAAATTAGAAATGGTAGGAATAAATAAATGCTTGAAGTTTATACAGTAGAATTATGATGCGCGAAAGTATTTGTATCTATTTTTATAAAATTTGAAAAATGAAAATAATGTGTGTACACGTCACGAGATATTTATTGCAAAATTATAATATATATATATATATATATATATATATATATATATATATATATATATTAATCGTTATATAATCATATATTTTCTTCCATTTATTGGGAATAAAATCATTTCAAATTGATTGTACCTATATATAAATTTCATTAATTCATGAAACATAAATAAGAGTATATTAATATTATTCAAGAACATTTAAACACTAGAACACCTGATATTATTCAGATTTACTATTTTCTAATTCACTTACGAACTGTATGATTCACTTGAAGGGGATAGAGACTTTCGACCCCGTAGCTCACGGTGTTCACTTGAATCGTGTATCTCTCCCCTGGCGTCATGTCCGCCACTTCTGCTTCCGTTTCTCGAACGCTTGGCAATTTTACCCATCTCGGGTCATCCTCTGTTCGATATCGTATCGAGAACTCGGAATACAGCGAGTCAGTTGGCGCCTCCCAGTGTACAACAACCGTGTTGCTCGTTACTTTCTCGATACTTAAATTCTTTGGCGCGTGAGGCACTGCAATCGAATAATTACATTAATTACTATGCATTCTTTAAACACATCGACTAAATTATAGTAAAAAGATTCTACGCAACACGATGTGCTTCATATTATACTTGCTAGAATACTAAGATCCTAAAATCCTGAAATATTTCCAATAAATCCTAAATTCAACAATAATTTTCAGAAATACGAAACTTAGTCAGAAAATCAATTTCAATTATTTCAATTAAATATAATATCATAACTTATATAATATATATTATAATATCATAACTTTATATACTATATATTTAATATATATTATACTATATATTTAATATATATATAATACTATATATATAATATATATATAATACTATATATATAATATAATATCATAACTTTATATACTATATATTTCCTGCAAATTTTTCACAAATGCATAAAGATGCACAATCTGTTTGGTGATTTGATAATTTTCATGCAATTATTATTATGTTTGAAATTATATTACTTACAAACTGCTTGAAGGTAGTCGTGCGGTTCGCTCCTTAGACCGTGGCTAATGGCGAAAACTTTGACTTCGTACGCTGCCCCAGGATAAAGGTCCTCCAAAACGATATGAGATTCCGTGGTTAACGTGGTTGCACTCTCCCCGGTATCGTTTCTGTTGTGCGTTACTTCGAATTTCTCTTGTCTCGAATTAACGTCGCTCTTCCACGAGATGTTCAGCCCCATCTCGGTTGGCTTTAAATCCTCGATTATAGGGCTGGAGGGTCGTGTCACTTGATACAACACCGTCTCGTTCGATTCAACCTTATTACTAATCGCTTGGACGATTATCGAGTAATTTCTGCCTGGCAATAAGGCTTCCAATGTAACCTGGAAATAAAATATAAAATTATATAGTAATATAAAAAGTCGTTTTAATATTCGGTATAATGAACATGATAGTGTATCTAATTCAATTGTTAATATTAAGCAACCAAGGATATACATATCTATATATCTATTACAATTTACGTGTTTATTTTGTAAGATAATTAAGAAAATTCTATGGTTTTTAATGGACGAATATAGAAAACGTATCAACATAAAAAAAAAATAGTTGTCTTTAGTAAAAAGGAATGATGTAAAAATTAATATTAATATTACTGTATTTGTTATTCTGTTATATTAATCGAAATACGTGATATAATAATTATAATCATAATTTTCATTTAATTATAATTATTACTGACTACACGTCAGTTATCAGTTAAGAGAGAACGTTTATTCATCGTGATCATGTCAATGAATTTTAACAAACTGATAATGAAATTCAATATCATCAGTGAATACGAAATAAAATTTTTATCTAATATTACGCAAATAGTAATTAAAATAAATCTACTTCTATGTGTTGCGTTACAAAAATTGTTCACGATAAAAATTCTCTCTTGGATTTTATTACCGAGATCGCTAATAACCTGGTATCTTAAATCCGATTTCTCGCATTTACGTGCTGTTAGGTGTGCCTCATTTGCATCAAAACGAGAAACGTAAATTCGATTGAAAGACTAAACGTAAGTAATTCTAAAAATATTATCCACTCTTGCATTTGTCACTTTTGTCAAACATATTTGTTTACTTCAACAACTTCTTCGCAGTCTCATCATATATTTAAGATATGACACAGACTGTAAATTAAGGAAATGTACATGTTCTTGCTCAGAGAACTAGGAAGTCTACTATCTATGTTCATTTCGAAGCTGGAAAAATTAAATAACAGGTTAGATAGCTAAGAAACTTCTGTTGCTCTTTTTTTATGATAATAAGGAGTAATACAGAGATAAAAAAGAATGACGATGTTAATTTTAACAGAATAACAAATACAGTAATATTAATATTAATTTTTACATCATTCCTTTTTACTAAAGACAACTATTTTTTTTTATGTTGATACGTTTTCTATATTCGTCGATTAAAAACCATAGAATTTTCTTAATCATCTTACAAACTAAACACGTAAATTGTAATAGATATATAGATATGTATATCCTTGGTTGCTTAATATTAACAATTGAATTACAAGATACACTATCATGTTCATTATACCGAATATTAAAACGACTTTCTAGTTGCAGTATATGTACGTTTTTGCGTAATAAACGAAATCTTAATTCATTGAATCGTACACTTGTGGAAATAATAAAGCAAGATAATGAAAATGCTCGCCTTGGTCTTGTCAGTTGTCAACATATTGCTGTCACCGCCGATCGTAGTTTCCACTTCGTGATATTGAAGCTTGTAACTGTCCTGAGTGCTCGAATTTTCAGGATGCCAAGACACCTCCACCATTCCGGTTTTTTCGTCGATGACAGTGCGAAGGTCGCGCACGGGTAACGGTTCTGAAAAAATATTAAGATCGAAATGATTACTTTTAAAAGAAAACTTTTAAAGTTGTCGATAAATTTATTAAGCAGAGAACAGCATTCTGCCGTTCGAGAGGAAAGTTAATCGATAATAGAGACTATATTGATCATTTTCAGAACCACTATGTATAATTATTGACAGCAACGAGACAATGCACTTGTATGGCGTTAAACTTTGTCGAAGTACGTAACAGAGTTAGGAATTTCGACAGGAAATTAATAAATTCCACAACACGTTATTAATTGTGAATAAATTGAATAATATTTTTGCACGTATGTTGATCGAAAATAATATTGAACATACTAACGGCAATAATGTAGTATCATTAAGTTATTATTAAACTGTTGTTAATTATTAATTATAGAGGCAAGAAAAATATATCAAACATAAATATACGAAATAATAATGTTTTGTCAATTTCCTGTTTTACCAAGATCGAAAGGTCTTAGTAAAGATCTTAGTTATATACAGAAGATTTTCTTGTAAGATTTTCGTCGAAGGTCAGAGAGTTAACAGCCAAGTAGAAAGTAGGAAATACTCACTTAAAGTAACGTCTCCGTTAGCTGGCCAACTGGTTACCTTGCCTGACACTGTCTTCACCACCACTTGATAAGTTTTCCCTGGCTCCAGGTCCTTGAATTCCCATTTACTCTCGTCGTCTCTGTTCCTGGTGACTGGCGCTAATCTTCTGTTACTCCCTAACGATATTTGATACTTATCGAATTCGGACACCCCCTCGGGAGGGTTCCAGAAAACGCGAAAGGACGTGGACGTTATCGAGGACTTGTCGAAGGTAACATTGAGGGGACGTAATGGCACCGTTCGATACTGAGCCGTCGTGGGGGCCGAGGTTTCGTCCTCTGACATCGTTTGAACGGAAATATTGTAAGCTCGGCCTGCAGCGATCAGAAAAAAAAAAACAAATATGGGACATTAGGTGGATTGTATTGATTTCAAGCGTGAGATAAAAAAAATAGGTGGAGGAAGGGTGAAAAGTATTTTGTCAGTTATTCCATTAAATTATTTAAATAAATATATCTTACCAGGGACGAGCCCTTTGAAAGCAGCCTGTGCAGGCCCAGGAGGTTCTCCTTCTTTCTCCACATAAAGAACAGATTCTATGGCATCGGCAGGATCTATACTAACTTTGTAATGGCTGTAAATCCCAGCAGGATAGGGCGGCTGCCAAAGGACCAGTAAGGTCGTCTCGTTTCTAAACCACACGATAAACTTCCCCGGCGTGTTGGGCTCTATAAAAGTAAAAAGATACACCGCATATACATGGAACTAAATTTCCATTAATTTTTTACTGGAGCATTTTCTCGCGAGAGAGGCTCGATGAATTTCCGAAATTTGAATTTACATATTAAAGGGATTATGATGGTTTAATTTTTTTGTATTCGAAACGAAAACTTTGAAACAGTGATATATATATAAAATATAAATTGAAAACTTTTATTAAAGTAAGAATTATTATTGTTATTAATATATAAAATTAAATTTCGTATATTTAGAATTTTGAGCATTTTATGGGTACTAATATTGAGTGTACTAGAAATTACACAGATTCTGAAAGAATAACGATGCTAGTTATATTTATTTTTACATCTCTAACTAAAAGAACGAAACCTAAATAAAAATTTGTTTCGTCTACCAAACACTGCAATAAATAATCTTACATAATTAAAATTCTTTTCCACGCTATAGACATTCTTGCACTTTCAAGCTTCCCATAAATACGTAAAAATCTGAATTTCTTTTCTTTTCTTTTTTTTTTTTTCTTTTGCAAGATTCTAAATTCCACCGAAATAAACCGGAACTTTGCAGAACGAAAGCGTAACAAAACATTACGCGAAACGCGCAGTTTGGTCGACTCACTGGTGGTGAAATTCCTGCTGGTGTAGGCCACGCTTTCTTTGGTGTCTAACACGGTGAAAAGTTGAAGAGAGTACGTAGCCCCGGGGATGAGATCACGTAGAACATAGGGCACCGCGTCCGCGGGGATGACGCTGGTTTTTGGATTTCCGGTGTCGCTGAAACTTTGCACCCTCAACCGGAAACCGGAATAATTGCCCTGGGCTGGCGGCGCCCAATAGACTATCGCGGTCTTTCCATTCCGCACGGAGACGGTGAGGTTCGAGGGCGGATCCGGGGCTGCAAAACGAACCGCATTCAGTTTCATTCAATAGCTGCTGTTCTCTCCGCTTATTGGATGTAATTCGCCACCGGGCGGAGAGTGAAGTAAGAACGTGATTAAGAACGAACCTCGTTAGAAGTTTTTAATGCGCCGTTATATTTTCCAACCCGGACGTCTATTATAATGTAATATCGATCGTAATTTTCACGCGGGCATGCCGAACGTTGAAACGTTTAATAGGTTTGTTATAATCATGCACTGATATTGAAAGGAGAAATTAAACGAATAATATTAATGAGACATCAAAAGAATGAAGTTGAATAAAGTTAAATTATAATTAAACTACGTTAATCTATAATAACGAAATAAGAATCGTTTATTGTAATCAGACTGCAGATATTTGTATAATTTTACATTCCTACGAAAATAATTAAAAAACATAAAGACTAAGTAAATATTATAAAGAGGATATTCCCTATAAATGTACAAAAAGTTTGTAGTTTAATTAAAATATAACAAAAACACTATGTTTCCTTCAAATTTCATGAAATTATATGACATAAGTGGAGATACAACGATTAAAAATACAAAGTAGATCTTTGAAATTTCCTTGAAATTAATAGAATTTGATATTACAAATTAATTAAAAAGAATTGCAAGTGAAATTGTATTGCTGATGATGATAAATAAACTCTATTTTTCAATTTGTGAAATAGATCTGAGCTGTAACTTGTGTACATGATGTGTTTCGTACCAAACACGAATCACGAATAAAATTTACGATACCCGTAGTTATGGACGCAGTCCATGTCAGCCAATCGTGAAGAGTGCTGTTGCTATAATACAACCAAAATTCATATCTAGTGCCAGGAAGTCCGTCTTTAAACTTGATCACATCACCGATATCGGTGGCGGCTATAGTGGTATTTGGTGGTGGATAACCTACAGCAGGGCTGTAATCCAGGCGATACCAGGAGCCTCCCTGGCTCAAGTTTCCTGGTATCTCGATAGCAAGATCTGCCGAATATGTGACCTAAACAAAAAGGATTGACACTGTTAGTGACACGAGCAATTGCAAAGAAAAAAAGAAAATTACTGTAAATGCGAAAGTCTGTGTATTAATATATTAACTTCGTCAATAATTCTTCTTAAATTGAATTGGCAGAATATTTTATTCGCAATTCTACTCTTTAATTTCTCAATATCAGGACCATGAAAAGAAATTCCACGGAATTTACGGACTCGCAAGAAAAAATATAAACTATGCATAATACACAAAAATGTAAAAGAGAGTTTTTGACAACATTTAATATGCTAGAACTGTATTACCAAAAAGTATAGATTTGCCGGAATTTGCATAAATAATCTTTTCGCGACCTCTTCATAATCGATCAAGGAGTCTGTCTACAACATTTTTATAACAACAACTCCAAGATTGCTTCTTTCTTTCAATTATTCCATTTTCATTGCAACGATATTAATATGAATATTAATAATGTTGTACGATAACAACTTTGTTATCATAAATGTGAAGTTTTATAGAATTTACATTGTTGTCAAAAGACGTAGCTAATGATAAATCAGACGATGCTTAATAATCTTGTTCGTGACTTGGAAGTGTTACGCGAAAATTGTTGAGTCAAAGGTGATTACGCGAAGGTAGGTCAAATAACGTAGAAACGTACAGTCCCGTATAGTAATCGCAATGACGTCAGCATCAATTCACGAACAACACATTTTTACAAAGTAAACAACAATTTCTTTAATAATTATCCTCGCAGTTGTTCTGCGTGCCGGACGCTAATGATCAATTCTAGGAATGCGATTCTCTTATCTTGTTTAAAAATCGTCTCACGGGAATATCACGCGCGACGATATTTATAGCCATGAATTCTGATGGAGCGCTATGTGTGCATGGTATGCCGGAAGCAGCGAGAGACAGACGTGGGAAAGAGGCGCACCGCAAATCTATAATGCCGTTATTCAGCCGTAACACAACAGCCTGCAACCGGCAGCGAATATATTAAAAACGATATCAATTTCACCATCCTGTCTGTCATCTACATCTCCGTTTCAATGAGCCGGCCAAAGAAAACCACGTGACAGAAAGCGTACGGAGAAGCAGCGTTTCGTTTAATGAAATTCAAATTACAATTAAATGGAAAAATTCGCTAGAGTCGCTTTCTTTCAGCAAATGTATACGACAATTTTGTATAACATTGTTTGGGATCATGTATTATATTCAGTTAATCAACAGTTATATTTGAAATTCCATAGGCTAGATAAGAATGAAAGAATACAGGGCCATAAAATATTAAAAAGCATGAGAAACATCTCTTGATTCGAATCTTTTATAAAATTCTGTTCCCCAATATTGAAGAAATTCTGGGATAGAGTAAAATTTTATAAAAAGAATAATTCCTGAAGTCTACTTTTTCATCTTCCATTTGGATTCTGTGTAGCTGTGAAATTCAAGTATCTATTATGATAGATGACTCTTTGGCTCTCAATGGATTAATATGCAATTATCGAAATTACATGACACCAGCATGAAAATCCACTCTAACTTTTTATCAAGTGCACACGAATGCCACGTTCCTTGATACTGTATCGAATATCATCTGGAACGTTCAGCCCATCAATTCGTCGAACAATATCAATTCAGAACATTCTGAACACCATCTTGGTAATTTCAATTTCGTGGCTCGTTGAGCCTGTTCGCCGCCGGAAATCTCTAAACCCAGAGGCAGAGATCTCTGCTCCATTCCTCGACTATTTCCCTTTATCAATCCACCTCTCCCTCCCCCCTCCCCCCTCCATTGATAAACCGGCGTGTATTCACGCGACAAGTTTTTCCATTTCGAAAGATTTGCTCCGCGCGCGCGGAAGCCTCGAGTCGCTCTTTCTACATCCGGTCGCGACGCTGAGGTGCATATCGATCCCTCTGCCCCTCGCCTCCCCCCCTTCCGGCGGGATCCGCCAACTCGCATGCTCCCTTTTCCTCGTCCGTGGCTTCCTCTTTCCATCTGGCGTTTCGCCCCGCGTCGTCGTCGTCGTCAGAACTCCTAATTGTACGAAGAACAGCGAAATAACTCTGTAGCCCGCCGCTGGGTCATGCTCTGTGTATGTACACTCGTGTTCATAAATGCAGAGTGTTCTCGGAACGAATGTTTCGCTGTTTTTTTACATTATTAGCTTATTAACTCTCCGAACGCTTGAAATAGTGAAATTTGAATGCTTAATTTTTATTGTTAGTGACGTTGACACGAATTGAAGTCACAGCGCGACACAAGTTTCCTTTGGTTCGCAAAATTATAAATAAAATTTTAAATAAAAGTCCGCGGTCTATTTAATTGTATTTTCAGAATCGTAGATGAACTGCAAGGTATGGATTAAACGTTTCAATTCAGACACCATGATGTTACAAAGATTATTGCATTTGTTGATATATTGAATTAATTCTATTTCAATACATCAAAACATAGTTTATTCTAATTTGATATTTTTACAATTTTACAAATGTCCTTGTACTTATGAACGGGGGTGTACAGGGGCAAAGGTCGTGTATATAGACGCGTTAGAAACCAACGGAGAATTTCATTCGAGCAGAGGTGGTGACAAAGGGTCGAAAAGAGGGGTTGGAGGATTCACCGAGGAATTATTTTCCACGCGTGCATTGCCAGTTGCAATTTTTCTCAAGAAGAAGGCTTCCCGACTTGTCAAAGTTTCACGTCGGTCGACGAGTGCTCGTTTTTGAAACGCGACGCGCGTCTGTTTCTCTCTAATTCTACAGTACTTCCTCCCTGATTCTTCCTCGTCGCGCTCGTTCCTGCCAGGCGAAATTGAAAAAGGTCTCGCGCGCGAAAGTAACGCTTTCAAATGCTGTTTCCTCAAAGGAAAACCGTTTTTCCTTTTCGCTCCGCGAAACGTTAGACATTCGTGGTGTCGGCGCCAAGAGAAACACGACTTCACGTCGGGGGGAGAGGATGGTGTTCGTTAGGCAACTGCCGTCTACCACTCCTTGTACACTCTGAATTGTCCGATGGAATTTGATCAATATTTTGAATCCGAGAGGCTGGGTCATTGTTATTTTGATGGTCGAATTTTATTTTTGTAGCTTAACAACAACGTTAGAATTCGATTGATCTTTTACATCGTTTTAAATCATTAATCTAACAATTAGACTGCGGACGTTCATTGCATTTTGGGGAGTTTATAGAAACGTACGATAGATTAAACTATTAATTACATTATATTGAATTATATATTTAAATTATAGTAGAAGTACAATATAGTATATTTATAGTATAAGTATAGTATAATATAGTATATTTAAATTATAGTTAAATTAAAGTAGAATAATAAAAGATTGAAACAGAATAAATATTGATTAGAGTATTCAGTGTATGAAAATTATGGAACAGATATGTCTTTAAACAATCTAGCAAACTCGCAATCTATCAATAGTTGATGATTTTCTTAATTTTTTTTTTTTTTGTATTTACTATTTACGCTTGGTAGTAAAATATATTGAATTTTTTATTATACTTTATTGCAATCGTAATTAATAAACACAAATACAGTCATGTCAGTGATTTTAATATTCTTTTAATTAATATTCACCAAGTGTACACTTTTAATTGGACTATTAATTACATTATATTGAATTATATATTTAAATTATAGTAGAAGTACAATATAGTATATTTATAAGTATAAGTATAGTATAATATAGTATATTTAAATTATAGTTAAATTAAAGTAGAATAATAAAAGATTGAAACAGAATAAATNTTTTTAATTTTTTTTTTTTTTTTTTGTGTATTTACTATTTACTCTTGGTAGTAAAACATATTGAACTTTATTGCAATCGTAATTAATAAACACAAATACAGTCATGTCAGTGATTTTAATATTCTTTTAATTAATATCCACCGAGTGTACTATTTTAATTAAAAGGGACGCATTAATAGAGGGTACAAATTACTGCACTCGTCTACACTGTCGATCAATACTCCGGTACAACGTACAGTAATCCTTCCAGTAATTTATATGAAATCCTTGGTAAGTCGCTGTGTATCAACCATCTGGTTTTATACGATTAATTCTGCCCTACAGTTTCTGATTAACTGAAAACAAGTCTGCCACACGTAAAACAAATTACATTAAAATTATTGTGCAAACTCATGTATCACAATAATTGAAGATTAATTATTATTATCAAGTATAAATTATTGAACAAAGCCTTTTTAATATTTACTTTTATTTTTTTAGATTTATTTATCGACATTACTCGTGCAATATAAATCAAAAATAATATATATCGTACTTTTGAATTCAATGGAATACACCGAGTTAATTCGTCTGATAATTCAAGCGAACCGTACCATAAATTGATTTTCATATAACAAACGAATGTCGTGTTTGATTCTTGGGTTAACGAGATTTCGATAATTTGATTGTTGGAATGGCCTCGACTACCCGGGGTCAGTCATGCTATGAATAGAACGAAACTCGGATAATAAGAGCTCTACTGTATATCTTATCCAATAGCAAAGGATACGATACTACGATATACTACAATACTATAAATGTCTACTATAAATACCACAAAGGTTTATGCCTCTTTGCCATTGAGTGGTGGCCTCGTCGTGGTCGCGTGTCGCTGTATCATGATCCAGATATGTACGCGATATAGCAACAGAAAAAAATACAATTCTATTTTATGTAACGCGCGTCCATTGTTTCAACATTTACAATCTTATCGAGTTCGATGCTTATCTCGTTTTTACGAAATTTCAATTACCTTTTTAACGACTCTTGTAATGACAAATAACGTTTCTTCGAATGAAGTTAATCAGATTTTGTAGCAGTTCAATGGTATCGTCAAGTGTGAATCATCTGTATTCATTCGTTGGAAATGTAAATATCTAAAGGAGGTTACAATACAACTACAACATTTTTAAAAATGGTGAAGGAAAGAATGGAGATTCAACGATACTCAATGATTCAGTAAAATTAATAATAATATTC